AGGTGTGTCTTATCCCCTGTACAGGTCGTCCCGTTCCGATGATCCCGCTCGCCGCACCAAGGATTCGTCTTGCCAACATAACCACAGTCTCCATTCCTGTACACCGACCACGAGTCTTGTCTTCGTTTCCTTATGCTACAGTCCATGTCCTCACAGCTACATGGAGTGTCCACGCTGTCGCCGTCATCTTCGTCCTCACAGCTTCCYTCCTGTTCATGGCTGTATATATCTTCACAGACGTCGCCATTTTCTTTGGGAAGAGCRGGCTTGCTTTCTTGTTCTTCGCTCGTTTCAGTGACTGCCTCACGAGATTCTGTCAAACACTTGCACTTTTCGATTCTCCTGGCTTTCTTCTTGAGTCGTTTTTGTTCTCGTTTGAGTTCTTTCATCCGTTCTGCTATAGATATTTCCTCGACCACTTGTTCTAGCCTGGAGATACCTAGCTTCTTCTCAACAGCAACCTGTGAGACGGTAGAAGTTGACAAGCTATTAAAAAGCCATATATTCCTGGCAGCCCCCTCCCCCCAACTTTTAATAAGCTGTCGTGGAATGACAGTCGTGACAAAATATAAGATAATTAGCTAAAATATAATATTAATATACCAAACATGAAAAAATTCCAAACATGAAAAAATTCAGTCTTTTGTGTCACATAGTATACAAAGTCTATTCTTAAAAAGGTTATGGGTGCCAAAGGAGATGGCGATAGGTCATTCCAAGATGGAAACGAATGGGCACACACCTAAACACGAATAAAAYGTTTAAAATGGTTTCGTCGAGTAATGAACGACACTGGATTTCTTGTCTTGACACTAACTTCCATTTTCTTCACGAAAATTATAATACCAAACCCCAGTCATTCAAACTTTTTTCTAGATTTTGAGATACTGCTCAGTGGCTCTCTTATGAGAAATTAGGTAGTATTATTCGACTAATGGTGCTAATATTGATGGTTTGCTAGCATTCCCAACAGAGTCAAAAGACAAAAACATGGCGGCCATTTTGGTGCCGTTAACAATGGATGCTAATGAAAAATCTTTTGTTAAATGGTACCAACGCAATGATAACGTGCAATCGAAGAATAGTTGGCTTTGACAACAATTCAAATATTTTGTATTGTCATACTGCCCTTGGGTTTGAAATAACCTATTAWCTAGTTCCTTTGGCTCCGATAACCTTTTCGAACTGCGGGTATGTCATTTTKACCTCAAAGGTTTTTCTCAAAGCATCAACACCAAGATAAAACAACATTTGCCAAGTTTGCTCCTCTGCTCTTAGCTTCTGCCACAGTCTGTGTAATCTCTCCCATAAATGAGTACCAAGACAAGTTAGAACCTGATAGGAAATAATACCCGGTTAGTGGAATGGTTAGTGATGGATAACTAACTAAAATAATTCTTGGTGTACATTTGACATCATAGCCACCGTATTGGGGATCTTAATCAGCTGATAAAAGTCTTTGAATCTCATTATCTGCTCCACATRGWGGTCAAACGCTAGCCACCATGTGCTGTTAGCCAGAAAGAAATCTATTGAAAACTTCTGGATTCAGCTGATGATCATTCCACACGAGAAAGAAAATRAYGTCAAGTGTAACCCAGTAATGGGTTGTCTTAAACGAAAGATTTTGTTCTTGATTTTGTTCTGTGGATCCAGRTTTACTTTGCTATTAACTGTCATKGCTAACATTTTTATACGTTACCAAAACGAGAAAAAATGACAAATAGGATGGCTACACTAAATATACGACAGTGTGATATACTACTACTCCCAGAATTCCTTGCTATCTTACTTTTACCTTAATCATTGAAATATCAAAAAACTGAAGAAATGGATAAAAGATTAGGCCTACAGCTAGTTTGGTCTAATAGAGAGCAAGAGAGAAATAGAGGTACCTCTTCTTGTGCAATATCTAATGTCTTCGCATGCCTCTCCCTTCTTCTGTACAAAAACAAAATGTTTAACAGGCATTAGCAAGAATCCAATGCATAACATCCACGTGATTTTATGATTATGATTACACATCGCCAGCCAGGTGATTTCGAATCTAGGAGCACAATGCTTTGTTTTTAACTCTTAATGTTKTATTTGTTACAGTGAAAATTTCTAAGTATTTTCTATTATTTCTTGTCAAAACAATATACTTTCCACCAACAAGAATGAAAAATATTATTTCCAACAGATATTTGGCGAATCTTTCTGCAGAGCACTTAATGCCAGATGGAGTTGGAATCCAGGAGTTGATTSTAAGACAAAACCATGACATACCCTCCAGCTATTTCAGGTTCTGCTCTTCCTATCAGATGAGCAATGAAATCTGTATCACACAGGACGTGGATGTGACGCTCTTGTGGACAGCTCTTTAGTCCGTCATACAATGTTGGGCAAAACCTATTTTAAAATCACAATGCCTTAGTAGTTAAAAATGGTGTAGTGATGGTTTAGTGATAGTGCAGTCACCCCTCACCTCTGGGGTCTCYAGTTCAATTTAAGGACTTCACATCACATGTCAATAAAATTTGTTCTGTCTCTACCTTGATCTGAATTATTATCTGGATTTTTGAATTAGCTATACAGTGACTTGGATCAGCCCAGATKTTTTTTGGAGGTTCAATAAATAGTGATCTTTTTTAAAATTTAAATCCAACTTTACCACTCTAAGGTGGGTGAAAAGCTTTACAGGTCTAGTGTCCAATTACAAAGCAGCTGATTGATCAAATTAGAATTTGTAAATTGAATTTTGAGGAGGGAGGAAACCGGAAACCGAAGTTGAACCCACAGGAAAACCCTCGTAGCACAGGAGAGAACCAACAAACAACTCTAATTATCACATATAACACTAAGCCCAGCAAGGCTCGCACCTGGGCTGCATTGGTTAGAGGTAAGCGAACTTATTGCTATGCCAACCTGTGCTTCCCCTTTAGTTGACTTGCTTATAAACTAATCAATCAACATACCCTTTTTCACTTGGTCCATCTAAATCCCCTGCTAAAATACTGTATGCTCTCAGCACCTTTGACTTGCATTCTGAACAAAATCTATAGGAGAAAAAATGCCAATCAAATTACTGGCCATGACGGTCAGATTGGGGTTGACAGGTTGTCTAGCTTTGTTTGTCTTGTAAAAGAAGACCACCCTCCAGTCTACGTCATCGTATGATGAAGACTAGCAGTAGCAGTCGAAACATTGTGGTCATCCCAACTGCCACAATAGTGTGACAAATGAATAAATATAATCTTTGTCTTTCATAGTCATCAAAATAGAGTAGTGCTCACACACCAGGCTTTGAACATTTGGGTTTAGTGGTTGCTATTGGTGGTAGTATATTTGACTTGGGGATGAACAATTAGATAATTAAGGGGGGGTAGGGTGGGTAAAACCAAAACATATTGAGCAAGCACTTTACCTACGAAAAAAATATCATGCAATCTTGCTTTTAAATAAAGAAATATTGAGGAAACAAAACAAAAAAATATGTGCAGGATTTGTTAAAAAAATATAGCAACTTAGTTCCTGCAACCTCGCCTTAATTATCTAACAGTCCATCCCTTATTGCCGCAATTTAATTCTATATTTCTTCTAGTATACTCAAGCAATGTGATAAATGATTTGTATAGTTACAGAACAGCTCACACACCTGTGTTTYCGTAGGTAATGCTCTAGAGTATCAAGAAGAGCATCTGAATCAATTAAAACAACCTGAAGATATACGAAGTACAAAATTATACAGATATCAAAACAGAAATCATGCATTAMACAAAAGTATATAATATATATTATATAGTTTGGACTAAAAAATGCATGGTCTSCATAAGTTTCAAGCACACTTTACTGTGTGGTCAAGAGCTTCCTAAAAATAGATTAGCACGCATACACAATACAATGCATGRGACCCCAACATGTCCCMGGATTCACTTCACTTGTGTTGACAAGGGCTTCCTAAATATCTATTAGCACCCATAACACAATGCTTCAGGGACCCAGGACATGGATCACAGGACCAAAGTTGAAAAATYCAAGTGCTATCATTGTCATAACTGCATGTTTCATCTTCAACTTTGCAGCTGAATATGAAGTTGGGTAAATATAACATAAAATACTGTACCTCATCTCGGCATTCTTGAGAAAGAAGATCCCATACATCCATCCAACTTCTATAAAGCAATAACACTTACTCAGTAAATGATTATAATTTTGCCAAGGTAATTAGCTGAGGGTATACAGGAGCAAAAACATACCCTGATGGTCTAGACTTGTGAGTTTCCAAGGAATGTAAGGGACATCTCCTAAAAGAGAAAATATTAATCTAGATTAAACAAATGAAAACACTTAGTAAAGTCACARTGACGTAGGGGTTAGGATTCCTGCTTTTGCATGGAAGTTCCTGGGTTTTATAATCCCAGACAAGGCACTAAGAATAGATTGAAAACTTGGTTCTCTACATTAGGGACTGTGAATCCTTTGTGAATCCATTGTTTTTAMATTTATACTCCTTTCAATATTCAGCCGCTATTTTGGCAAAGGGTCTAGTTTCATGCTAACCCTATCTATCATTTTTGGTTGTACMACTTGTACAATAGATACAAAAAGCAAGACATACATGTCCCTGCTATATCTTCCAAGGCCTGGTTGTACGAAGGGTGGATAGCACTGTCCAACGGATAAATTCTTATTGTGTGGATAAAGTGATGCTGTTATCCAAAACATTTATTCAGTGGATAAGATTTATCCATTGGATAGCGCTATCCACCCTTCATATGATAAGGCCCATTGTATTGTGTGATGACCATGATCTCTAAATGATAGTATACATCAGACTGACCTGTTTCTTCTACTTTTTGGAATAGCYTCAACCAATTCATTCAAYCTAGACCTGATACAGAAACAATAGAATTTCAACATGATAATGATTGATGATTTACAATAGCAACCTTTCTATATAGATATAATTGTGACTGTTAGATTGTTTTTTTAGTGCAATTTACAATCATGAAAGATGGTTAGTATGAGGTGTAGTATGAGGAGTGTCATATCAATAAACATGATATGAATTATTAGGAACTCCTCTTATGCAAAGTATTTTAATTTATTACACTTTTAGGGTCAATATCAGTGTGGTAAAGCCGTAAATAACAACCATATCAGTGAAGTGATACGATTTCACTTCACGGTGAACTGGAAATTGTAAATTTTGTCATTTTATCGAAACTAAATGTGTAATAATTAAATTATCACATGCAAAGAGCGTGATATCTTTTTTATTCACTTGTTTTCCATATCATATGGAAACTTGTGAATAAAAATGGTATCAAGCTCTTAACATGTGATAATCACTGATGAAATATCTATTTTCTTCTACTACTTAAAAGTAATATCTTCACATGTGAAAGAAGGTATTACATGATAACTTCAAATGTGAAGATAACACCATTAGTAAGAATTCTGAAGAATTGATAATTATGAATTAAACAGAATATTACATGGCCTCTAAGAGATACGGAATTTAACTTCTTGTGATATTTTCCCGTTCACTGCGCTGACTCGTAACATATCAAAGATAACATCTGTATCACTACTTGGCCAAGTAATATCCTCTGTACATTTGATGCCACCAGCCAAGACAATAAAAACTACTTCTCACTTACCCATGTGTGTAGAACAATGCATATACTAACTTGGGGTCRCGAAGAAAATAATCACTAACTGTCAAGACTGAAATTGAAACGTAAACAAAGAAAATAAATTGTCATTTTTAATTATAAAAAAGGTCAATTATAAAAAACTAGTATGAAAATTGTTAAAGCAAAAATAGAATKGCTAATCTGGTAGACCTAAGAGGAAAAAATGTTTATTTTAAGTTTTGGCTTGCTAATGTTGTTAATGTAAGCTTGAGCTAGTTTGTACTCTTTACAATGTTTGTCATTTCTCATAAACAAAATGTACAATAGACCTATCCCAAATTTGCTTGACTGGTCATGAAATGATGGTTTCAAGTCGGGGTTGAACTTGATGAATAAAAGAATCAAGTTCAATCTCGACTTGAAACCATTGTTTTGTGGTCAGTCAAGCGAATTCAGGATAGGTCTATTGATAGACATATATATATGATATAATTATTATTATGACAAATGTATACTGTTATGTTTTCTCAAAATAATTACAACGAAGGTCAATTGTACAYGTATCACACAAAATGTATGATTGTCATTACTTCACATTGTATTCATCTTTCAGGGAATATAGGATTCTATTCAGATGCAAAGAAYTGGAGTTGAACTTACTAAATCTTTGGGAAAAATATTGTCAAAATATTTGCATGTGTTACATACTTCCTGATGTTGTGATGATTAGCGGTTCAAGTGCTCGCTGACCAGATTTCACTAGTTGGTTGCACAACCTCTCAACACTGTTATAAGATGATGTGAATATCAATAAATGAGAAGAGTATAATRAATGAAATAGGATATATATAATACACTGGCATACCATGGAATGACAAATAAGACATTCTATACAATTAATTGAAATATTGCGACCAATTTGAATAACTATTGTGCTGCACTGACTAGCCTCATGTTTACTTGAAAACATACAAGCATTTACACATGTATGAGAGGCCTCGTCAGCACAGAATAGAATAGTTATTCAAATTGGTCGCTTTTTTTATTCCTTATAAAATACATCTAGGTTTTAATGCCTGATGGGAAGGAATAGAGACATGCTATCCATTCTATAACAGCTTTCTGGCATTCTGATYGGTTGTTTGTGGAAATAGCTTTATTCTTGGTTTGCAATCAATCCCAAGAGAGCACAATAGCAAAAGGGATGTCTGCCATGTTGGAAGATATAACAAAAGAATTCATTGAAAAATCTTTTGTCAAATTCTTCCAACATGGCGGCTATGACGTCTTTTGCAATCGAAGAATATCAGGAAATAAGAACAAAGAAGACATTGGTAACGAAATCTGAGAAAAAACTATACTAAATTGGAAAATGTGTAATCTTTAAACACATTCAAAATCATGTCTGCTACCATCAGTGTTGTTGGAGGAAGTGAATATTATGTAAAGGAATGACAAAACTGATATTTAAGAATTCAGTTTTATCACCACAAGTKTTAAGACATAATATGAAAGCCTAGACATGGGGAGTGTTTTAATCAGTGATTGTTGACAATTTCACTCATAGACAGGTTGAATGAGTAACTAATGTTGTTAGCATCAATTATTGATCTTATATCTATAAACAACGTGAAAAGGATGTGATAACCTATGTTTGAATTTTTCAAGAAAATCACATAAATCTAAAGACTTCTTACCTTCTACGACAGCCCACACAAGGCACAGAGTGTGAAAGCAACGAAAATACATCTTTTTGACGAACCATAAGAGCAAAAACCAACTCCTCGCTATCCAAGCATTCGTATCTCTGAAAGATGAATAAATAATCTTCAAATGTCAAAGCAGTGATTTTCCACAAACAAAAATTTTCTCTACCCAAATTTCAGATAAAAAAAAGCTTCTAGATATAAGACAATATGATGGTAAAGCTCGTTGTTGAAGATAATTGTATGCTGGTATAACATTATTTTTAAGTAGACGTCTAGTTTCTAACTTTTCAATATTGGCGCCCAAAGTGAAACTTTCGTCTCTGACAAACAGTCTCACAGACGATCGAAGAGGCAAAAAGTGCCTCTAGCATTGGGCAAAGGTTCTATATATTCTATATCCTCGAAGTTCACATGCCCTTCATAAACTAACTAATTATTACCTTCAAAAAATCTTGGATTTGGTTTTCGCTGACATTGCAAGAAGATATCACGTTTTCCGGAATTTCCATAACCATCTAAAGAGGAAAGGAATTCAAAATTATATGCCTTGGTTTCTATCTAAAAACTGCGCAAAAATGAGCCAATACTCACTCCTATGACTGCAAATATATATAAAATAGTCAARGTATTTAAATATGAAGAATTACCGTAAGATTTTCTTCGATTACTAAAGGGATCTGGCGACGTTCGAAAGCAAAATCCATCTCATCTCGACACACAGCAACAAGTTTAGCCATTTTTTAAGTTGACTTTCTGCTTAAATTCTCATCAATGTAGTCCACAGAGTTGATGGTTGGTTCACAAATTTTCCATAAATAAGGTATTTTTTGTGGCTGGGTTCGATATAYTTGAATTATGGAGGAATATTTCGAGTAAACACAGAATTTCCTTCCCTTTTTACTCCTACACTTTCTCTTCACTGGACCCCACTGCGCATGACCAATAACACCCAGAGGGCTTTGCCATCCTCGTACCCAGAGCTCCTCGGCTTCGTTCCTGAACTCTGGGTACGAGAATGTGGGAAAGAAAGAAAGAAAGAAAGAAAGAAAGAAAGAAAGAAAGAAAGAAAGAATAATTCCTGAAACCTTTCAGAGAATTTCCTTACTGTCGTGATAAATCATAAGGTATTCTTTTGATTTCAAATATGTCTTCCTTTGCTATAATAATGACCTTCCCATTCCATCGCATACCCCAAAAAAGGAAAAAATACTTAGAAGAAGTAAAGACACAGTAAAAGGAGAAGACAAAGTAGTAGTAGAAGAAGAAAACAAACAACAAATGCAAAGAACATGGCTGTTCACTCAGTGCTCAACCTCCCCCACTCCACTCTCTAAGTAGCCATAGCAGCTATGCATATGAGTGAGAGTTCTACTTTTTACGACGATTGCGGCAACGCACAGCTGCAGAAAAAAAGATTGCGAACTGTTTTGGTATGTTACACTAGAAATTTTTATCTTGCAAGTTGCGAGGAACACCTAGTGCAACGCTTTTGAAGGCTAAAAGCGGTTCAAGTTACTGTGGCCATATGTCGTCGCCGGGTCAACAATAAAAAATGGGGAAATAAAAATATGAAGAAAAAAAATCTCTGCCGTTTAACCTCTTTATAGATATCCTGCTACTTGTGGAGCATTAGCACTTCGTTCTCGATCTGCTTACTCGTCATCATATATTCATAACAGCCTCGTCTTCGCGTACCCTTACCCTTGGCATTACTTGTGTCAATATTTACCGTCTCCAAATATATATATCCTTGTTTGCACGACTTGTTTATCGGTACGAGTGCTTATTCATAGGCCCTACTTTTTGTGCTTGACAGAAGCAAGCTCGTGCAATGATATAAGGATGTTTATTTTATCCAAAACTGGTCTAAAAAGARAGTCTAAAAGGCAACTATATTAGGCGTGTTGATGCGGAACTAACACTAYTGAATATACATGAAGAGTTTTATAGCAAAACAACAACTTGGTTAAGCCTCAGTAATGTTTGAAATGCAAAGTTTGACTTTGTATGAATTCAAGCTTTTCTTCTATCCGTCGTTATGATCTTTCTATCAAAGACCTTCTTCTACAGTTGTTAAAGCACAAGTAGTATTTATGTTTTTTAAAAAAGACTGCCAGCCAGTTCCCAA